AAGCAGTGTTATTATAGCAATAATGACACTATAAAGTACATGCATATTCTCTTGTCTATAACCTCAATTAGATAGTTATCTTTTAAAAGAGAGTACTAGGTTTTCCTTATTTCTGCATCTGCTGAGGTCCAGTCGATGGTACTTACTCATTAAATATTTAATAGGCAAATGGATTATAATGGAATAGGTTCTAAAGTTCATACATAAATTATCAAGTATAATCAAAATCATTCTTGAAAATTCCTGAGGAAGGTATTACACTGCAGACCCAACATATTGTCTCAATATAGTTAAGCCCAGCAATTCTTCCTCCAGCGCTGAAATACCACAGTTTCTTTAGACGGATATCTGTAGTTACAATGCGCTTAATGACAATGATTTATGAAAACTATGTATTTTTAAACATCAGAGTTTATGTTCCATGAAACTCAGTGGGTGGCAAGTAGAAACTGACATAGCGTAAAATAGCAAATTTATTTCTCATCTTAAGGTGACTGTGAACACAGTTATTGAGAAGAACGGCAGAATCACCATTTCCTTCTTTCCTTTCTCCATTCCTTTCTAACTGTATCTATCTATTTATCAATTTTTTACACCAATATCCTCTCTCAACCCACTTCCATCAAGATTATTTAGTGCTTTAAGCAACACTGGCAAACACAGGAACAATAAAAAGCATGGCCATGAGCATGCTACATTCCATGCAGTCTTGTAGTCTGTTTTATGTATATTTCATGATAAACATTCCAGAACACAGGCTAAAAGGAGACTATTGCTAATTAAAAATCAAAACAAGCATGAATTAAGTAAAAATTGGGCTAGATATAATTACTTCAATAGGCCCACTGAATAAGCCCACCTCAGGGCAGTGGTTGGATATAAAGAGATTTGAGGATGCTGCCCTTTTGGTGAGCAACATTTTACCAGAGCTTCATTTTCTTTCCTTCTTTCTTTCTTTTTTTAAGAAAACATTTTATTTATTTATTTGAGAGACAGAGAGAGAGAGGAGGAACACAGGGAGAAGGACAAGCAGACTCTCCGCTGAACATAGAGCCCAACACACAGGGCTCGATCCCACACTGCAATATCATGACTTGAACCGAAATCCAGAGTTGGAAATTTAAGTGACTGAGCCACCTAGGCACTCCCAGAGCTTCTTTTTCAACAGGCCGGGCATCTCCTACCCACAGTTCTTAGATGCCACCCAGAGTTTCCCCACAGGGTAACTTATGGACTGTCTGTGTGAGCTTATGGCTTCCCTTACTTTACCTCTATTTCAACCTTATTTCCAAACATAAGTATCATTTTAGTGAATTTTTTCTATAGCAATGGAGTTTTCTAAATTTCTAGGAAGCATCCCTGGGCAGAATAAATGTCACAATGAACCTAAAGCAAAATCAAAATCAAGTAAGTCACAAGAAAAATATAGTGAACATAGATTTCCTTTGCAGAAATGATACATTTAAGAACAGAAATAATCACATTAAGTTTCAAGAACTAAATAACTGTTAGTATTCATAAAGTACATTTAAAAGTACATCTAAACTGTATTTAAAAGTGTATCTGATAACTAAAAAGTGTATCTGATAATTTTTTTTAATTTTTTTTTTTATTTACTTATGATAGTCACAGAGAGAGAGAGAGAGAGAGAGAGAGAGAGAGAGGCAGAGACACAGGCAGAGGGAGAAGCAGGCTCCATGCACCGGGAGCCCGACGTGGGATTTGATCCCGGGTCTCCAGGATCGCGCCCCGGGCCAAAGGCAGGCGCCAAACCGCTGCGCCACCCAGGGATCCCTGTATCTGATAATTTTTTAAAAGAAAGAAAAATTGGGAAATTATATAAAACTTTCATTTTTACTAATATACATATTACTTATATACATATACATATATATATATGGCAATGCTGTGATTATGATCCAAGCACTTGAAAATTACAGACCACATACAGAATCAGTTTACCTGCTGCAATCCATTAAATAATTTAGTCTTTATCTATGACACATTCTCAAAACAAATTCTGAAAAAAGAGAGAAATAATGTAGGAGTTTCAGTGCTAAAGAAAACCATCTGGCTAGTCTGGAAAATCTGCTTTTGTGTGTAAAATTTTTTCAACAATTACCATTTAATTAATCTCAGAAGTACTCTAGGTTTAGAACGAGAGTGTGGGTGCAGCGGGCCCCCCCAGGAGGCTTTCCACCACACAGACCCTCTTCCCTCCTGTGAAGTCCTGTGTTTCTTCATCTGTAGTTCTGATATAAGCAATAATTATCACTTTACACTTAGTGTGGGCTTTGTAACTTATCTCCCCCACCTGCCTATAAACTCTTTGAGGGGAAGATCCAGGTTTAATTCAGATTTTATATCCCATATTACCTACTAGAGTGACTTGCACAAAGCCTCAAAAAATGCCTATTTTATAAAGACACTCAAAGATACTCCCTCCTGAAAAAAACATTTTCAAGTTTTTTCCCAAAATAAACTATGTAGTACATTACTTTCTATTTTTCTTCCTACTTGTCAGCAGTTTCCAGTTTAAACATCCCTGTTGATCCTTGCTCCAGAGAGAATTTATTCATCCATTCACTTAATTTATTCACTCAAACAACCCAATAAATTATTTGTCTAGTTCCAACTTTGCCAGGTAGTGTGTAAGGTGCTGGGGTTACACCAGCAAAAAAGCCCTTAAGGAGCACACAGAGTCTAGCAGGAAGGATACACAAGTAAATAGGTAATTTTAAAACAAAGTGATAATTGTTATTAACAGGTGTAAATGTATGACACTGTGTAAGACTATTTCTATAATTTAAGAGTATTTCTCCAAGTTTTTGTTTGTAATTTATCATTTTCCTGATATTATGGTCTTCCCTGGTCATGTATCTATCCATCCGTCCACATTGGTCCATCTAACTTCCTTCCTTCATTTTTTAAATATATAATATATATCTGTGGTACAAAATACACAAACTGCTCAAGAACACACAATTTAAAAAGTTGTCTTTCTCACACTGTCCCCAGCCATTTGGCTTATCTTCCCAAAGGTACACACTAATGCTCAGTGCATACCTGCAGAGACAGTCAACGCATACACAGAAACATGTATCACACGCACATGGTCCTAGTTTCTTTTAACTATTACAATGGTGGCATGCTTTATCCTCTCCATCTTGTCTCTTTCACTTCAGAATGTATCTTAGAAGTCATTCCCTATTAGCCCACATTGGGCTACCTTCATTCTTTTTAATGGATATAAAGTATTCCACTGTGTGGATACAACACAATTAATTTAAGCAGTCTCTTTACGGAATGCTTATCTAAGGTTCTACAAATGCTGTAATGAATCTATTTATCCACATATCATTCTGTGGTGTATCTCTGAATACATCTGTAGAATAAATTCCTGGAAGTGAAATTGCTGGCTCCAAAAATAATGAGCACTTTTTACGTCGATAGATACTAATGTATAGGATTCAACCACTTAATTCCCCATAAAATGGGAAATATACACCTTCATAACATAAATTATAATCCCTATAAAAAAATGGCTTCCTAATCTGTACCCACAGTTCTGACTCCCCAGTTACTCTCTCTGATATTCTCACATTCTTTCCACATACACATTTCCTAGGAACCTTAGGGAAAACCACCACATTTATAATCTTACCCTCAACATATTCTCTGTTTAAGTACACTGTATTTGTTATCCCCAATTCTAACCCAAAGCCACTTTTGATCCTTCTCTCTTTCTACCCATACCCAATTCACTGGTCATGAAGATGGACCAATCCTGTGCCATTCTATGATGTTCACCTTCTCTGTATTTTCTCAGACACCTCTGAGTCCAATGCCTGGATTATTCTCCTCCAACCACTCAAGTGCCTCCAGTCCTGTGCTCACCCTGGTGATTCTGTTAACGTGATCCTCTCTCTGCCTGAAGAATCTCAAGTCAGTTCCCCTACTGAGATCTCAGTAAGAATCAAAGGTCTACCCTTAATGCCAAATCACCCACAAAGCATCTTCTTTTTTTTATTTTCATAACGTATTTTCTAATATGAATTTATGAACACTTAGGTCTTTCACTATACATGTTCTAATTTATAGTACACTTACAATGTAAATTACAAACTCCTTCATAGAAAGGATCATGTCTTAGCACATTCTGATAAACCCACACTGCCTTGGAATTTAAAATGTGATTATCAAATGAATGAATGCATTTTTGCAATTAATTCCTACAAGTCATATAATTCTACAGGAGAAAATATTCCATAGGAGATATTTAATCCACTTATTTTTGAAAAATAAGACTATTTTAAAGTCTGTGACATACAATCAATCCCCTACTTAATAATTATATTTATTTCAGAAAACCCACAATGTGAAATATTTCCAGTTAAGTGTGCCAGTAAATTATAAATTTCCCTCACAATCCAAAATGGGGAGGAGAAAGGACAGGGAACAAAGAGGTGAGATGTACCACTACACTGACTGTATTTCTCTTCTAAGCTACAAAAACCTTTCAAATCTCTTAAATATAGTCAAAGTTACTCTAACTACTATATAAAAGAAGAGAGAACTAGCCATGACGTGCCTATGGACCATTGCTCAAGTGAGTTTAAAATGGGCTAAATCTTTTACCAATTTCACAAACACTTGAAAAGAACTTTGCAAAGCATCATAAATCCTGTATTTCCAGGTTTCAAAGTTAAATAACACGATTTCCAAAAGCACATTTGTGATAAAGTATTTTACATTTAAAAAACATAGGGAAAAAATATAATTATGCTTTCCAATATGTAAAAGCAGTCATAAAAAATTAGTGATCATTATGTTTCATTATAAATGATTCAGCTCCCATCTACCCAGTGGTAGATGGAGCTACACAAATTCTTGCCAGGAAGAAGAGACCTGTTACATTATAACTTATATCATCAATAATTAAAGAAATGATGACAATACTACCATGCATATTCAAGTGGCGTATTTACTTCTTGACTCACCTCTCCCCCATTAACATATTCCATCACAAAACACAAACGGTCTTTTGTCTGGAAGGAATATTTCAAGGACTTGAAATGAAAAAGAAAAAATGTTACATTATAATCCAGAATTCTTATAATGATACCAAAATAGAATACTTAGAAACAGTAAGCTCCAGGGATGAAATGAATTGTTCTTGTCCTGAGGAGTCTATTTAACTCCTTAAAAGTGTTGAAGAGTTTGGAAGAACACAAAACAAATTTTGTTTAGATCAGCAGTGGCTATTGTTAGGGAAAAAGTTAAAATTAAAATTTTAAGTAAAAATACACTTAGTAATTGTGATGAGCACCTGTCAATATATTGTGCTATTTGCAACTGTATTAGTTCCTGAGGTCCCCACCCTCAGGATCTTCAAGTGAGGAAGTCTAAGGAATACAGCTGGAGTAGCTATGCTCCTGCTCCTAATACAGTTTCAACACTGCTTTTTGCATACTGGGTGCAGAACTTGAGTGAATTCAACAAAGCTGTTTCATTTAACTGTATAAGTTATAAAGATATCAAAACTTTAGAGCTATCTTAATACACTGGACAACAGACTGACAGCAATGTAACAAAGTAAGCCTAGGTATGTAACTATTCTTCTGAAAAAACTCCTACTACATAATCCTAAATCTCTAAAAGGCTCCTCCTTTGGAACATCTACCTGTTACTTCTTTTTCCTCTTTCTTTTCTACGAGTTATTTTTCATCTTAATATACTTCTTTAGAACCAGAACAAATTGTGTCTCTATTATAAGCAATCTAAGTACAGGCCTAAAAAAATTAGTTTCTTTCAAAACAAGTAATATGCATGTAAGTCACTGTTTATACTTTGTCCAGTCAAGAAAACATATCATGACTTATCCTATCTTTAATTTTTGTATTCAGGATTCCTGTGTTTCTTCAAGTACTCTCTACCTATGGGAGGTTTCAATTTCTATGAAAAATATTCAGTAAAGATTTTCTGCCTTTCATATCTGGAGACAATGCTGCTTGATCATTGAAATATGTATCAGAAGCCATTAAGCAGAGGAAATACAAAATCCTTACATTTGATACTAAGAATTTCTTTTAAGTCTACCATTTTCTCAGTGGTCTCTGTATATTTGCTCTATGGTTTTTTGTTTTTTAAGGCAGTGACATTCATGGGGGAAAAAGTTTCAGAAAAGTAATGGCCATGTAAGAGGAGGATCACAAACACACACATATTGTAAACTTCAGCCATACACTGCAATCATTCGAAAGAAATACGACCTAGAGTCTCTCTACAAAGAAAATGGCATACGTAGACAAATGAGATTTTTCATGGCTTAGTTTTGCAATAACACTCTTGTGAATGTAAGTATCAGGTGAGTACACCTGCCCTCCCTTGAACGTAAAGGTCAGGTGAGTGCACCTGGCCTCAGTCACTTACTGTTAAAAAGGGGTGTCGAGTGTTCTTTAACACTCTGCTTTCCGTTAGAGTATGTGCCACTTCATCCTACAAAAGAAAAAGGTAAACCTTTAATATATGGACTAAGCACCAGCAATAGAAAATATTCACTATTTCTCTAAGACCAGAAGAGGTTAAACCCAGAGACAAAAAAATGAGATGGCTGTGAGGTGTAATAAACGCATATACACTCATAGTTAATCAAAGTATATTGATAATATTATATCAAGTATAATATTATATTATAATATAATATATATAATATTATATTATAATCAAGTATATTGATTATATTTGATAATCAAATAAAAATCACCAAATAGTTATCAGGGACACAGGTGATTGAATAGTGAACCTTCCTCCTTTGAGGCAATGCCTTAGCAGCTAACATTCAGGCATGGAGTAGTTAATATTCCCATGTTTGTAGTATATTTTATTCAGGAGGATATAAAGGATGTATTTCAGTAAAGAACATAGAATTTCTAAGTCTCCTACTTAAAAGAAAAAATCAGTTCCTGAAGATAGGAACACAGAATATACAGATAAGATTTAATTATCAACTATACATTTTACAAATACCAACAGAACATAAAATTGGTATATTTTTGTTTGTGGCTTTTTAACAGGCTTCTTAAAAAAAAAGTTACAACCTACTTAGGTGACAATTTTAAAAATCTGGGTTTATTTCAAACCAAAAATAAGTATATTTCCCCAATCTTGTACATAAATCTCATCTTGACATCAAAAATGAACTAGGAGAGATTTTCTTCAACATATGGAAAACTGGAAAAATGTTTCATATTTCAAAAATAACAGCATCTTAAAGAAGAAAGGAAAGGAAGACACTGCTGAAATTAATACAGCTGGTCTCTCTGGTCTCTGCCTCCAGCAAGAGCCTAAACAAGGCTCTTGCTGGATTAATGTCTCCACACCGTCAGCAAATCACAATTAAATTATAAGTAAGATGTGGAGAGCAAAACATTGGGTCACTGCATTATATTTATCATCTGACCTTAATCAGACCTAGAAGATAAATGAGAAATAGATTGATCAAAAATGCTAAGCCCCGGAAGCCATTCCAAGAGGGCAGGACCAGCTTCATCTGAACAAAGTGAAACAAAGCATGGGTATGAAACCACTCCTGAATTATCTGTTTAATAAAAATTAGGCTTAAGTGCTCAAACAATTCAAAAGCCTCTATCAGTCACATCATACTACAGTTTCTAAACTAATTAGAACAGCACACATCTTAATGCAAACTAAATCAGAAGCAGAAATGAGAGCATGACTTACTGATTTCTAACACCCACAGTGCCTAGCATCGTGGTTAGCACACAATAGACAATAAATGTTTGTTGAACTGAACTGTTTATCACAGGAATAAATTCCAGATGTCAGGAGTGTATGACTCCATTAAATCAATCACCCATTCCTTCCACAAATATGCAACCAAACCTACTGGGTGCAAATACGGCCCTGAACAAAAAAACAAACAAACAAACAAACAAACAAACAAGGATCTCTGCCCTCAGGGAACTTTCTGTCTCCCTACACAGATGGTGATCAATGCTAAGGGGGAAAAAATGGAGCCAGGGCTACTGCAGTTTAGGAGCATCTTGTAATGAACATGAAATACATACGGAAGCATTACACAAGTGGCTACTTTGTGACAAACACAACCAAATTCATTAAAAACCAAAACCCTTGATGGGCACTTAAATGCTAATGACAGTGAGGGTATAAAGTGGTAAAAAAAAAAAAAAAAAAAAAAAGGGGATCCCTGGGTGGCGCAGCGGTTTGGCGCCTGCCTTTGGCCCAGGGCGAGATCCTGGAGACCTAGGATCGAATCCCATGTCGGGCTCCCTGCATGGAGCCTGCTTCTCCCTCTGCCTATGTCTCTGCCTCTCTCTCTCTGTGTTAACTATCATGAATAAATAAATAAAATCTTAAAAAAAAAAAAAGACATAATCTCTCTGCTCATGGAGTCACAGGCTAGTGGAGAAGACATAACAGATGGGTAAATATCCAACTTCAAATAAATTACTAATTCTGATGACTGATATTAAGAAAAAATGGGGGAATCTATGATCATAAATGGCATAATGAAAGAAAACTAACATTATTGAAAGACTATATAGGGTGGGTAATGTGATGATGTGGGAGGCAAGGGTGTGACATAATCTAATTTCTATTTTTAAAAGTTTACGCAGGCTCCTCTGAGTAGAAGGACAACAAAAATAGCAAGGATCAAGCAGAAACAACAAGGAGTCCAAGAGAGAAACCAGGATGGGTTAGACTACTGTGGTATCAGTAGGAGCAGGAAAAAAGGGGGACCATTTTGAAATCTTTTTGAGATATAAAACTAACAGTCATAATTCAAAAGTTACCTGCCTCTACCACGAGCGTGACTCAAAAGAAACATCTCTTTGCAGGCAGTCAGAAGAAGATTCACAGAAGAGATAACATTTCTGCAGGTTATGCTTGAGAACGCTAAGTGGCTGGAAGCAGCCAGCCAGGAAAAGACTACAGAAAGGTAAGTGTGAAACCCATCTGAAACCAGAAAAGATATTCTAATACTTCAGAAAATATTTCCAGAGGGTAGTTCATTCTGTTTTTTATTTTTAAGGATTTATTTACTTATTTGAGTCAGAGAGAGAGTGTGAGTGAGTGGGGCGGGGGAGAGAGGGAGAAGCAGACTTCGCTAAGTACAGAGTCTTACAGGATGGGTGTTCAATCCCATGTCCCTGAGATCTCGACCTGAGCCAAAATCAAGAGTTCAAAGCTTAACCACTTAACCGACTAAGCCACCAGGTGCCCCCATTCTATTTTTTAAAATAAGCCTACCACATACAATAGTTATTTTTATAAATCACTTTGTAAGTTTCAGGATAGAAGATTAGTTTTTTCCTAAATTCTGCAATCTGCCTAACCACAGGGAAGCAGCCAAGGCAAGATATATGGCAACAAATGCTAAACCAATATTTATCATAAGAATGTGAACAGAATTAATACCATGTACATAACTTTCAAATATTAAAATGTATTTTTTACCATATTTTACATATGATCAGATTAGAATTCTTCCCCCTTAATGCAGATTTAATAGTACTATACTTCACATACTAATTAGTTTCTGCTATGAAGATAAGGTATGCATCAGCTAAAAAGTAAACACAGATGCCAATAATTTTTAATTACAGTTAAAAGCAATATGTCAAAACAAAAAGTTAAAAATAACAGTGATAAAACTTAGTGGCTAAAACAATGTGATGCCTTTCAAAAAATCCACTCGTTGATCAGGACTATAAATGAAGGGGGCTAAAAATGCTTGAGTGTGCAATAGAAGTCTAATGTTTTAATGAAAAAGCTTCTGAAAATCAGTTTCATGTATATTCACCCACGGCAAAATAGTAACTAATGAATTTTAAATCTAATTTCTCTCATAGGAATAGGATTTTATTTCTTGAGGACATGAGGCAGAGAAAAGTTCTTCTCATATTTATTTTCCCAATCATCTCCAATTTACCACTCCCTTCTACTGCAGATGGTCTAAAATTCTGCCTTCATTTGCCTCCTCCTGCCCCATACTGTCAAGCAGTTATTGGGTATTTCATGAGGGGTCAGGAGTAGGACATGGCAGAGAACTGAACGAAGAGATCTCTAACCCGCTGGTCAGTGACAAGGGATTCAGGTCCTTTCACCCCTATACCAATTCAGCAAGGTAGGCTTTCTTATTCCCATTCTGCATAAAGAAACTGAGGTGCCGAGAAATTAACCTGTTCAGGCTGCAGTGAAAGAGTCAGTACTGATTCCACATTTAAGGCCCATGTTAGGGTCACTTCTGCTCCACACCACTGTCTCCCATTCAAATGCTCAGTATCTCCTTAACTGGGCACAATCACTCTGTTCACAGTATTTTCTCCAACTTGAATGCAAGACTTTAATGACCTACTCTATCAGAAGCCAGTTGAAATCAAGATATGGCAAGTTCAAAGCACTTCCTTCCTCGCTCCATCAGAGCAATAACAAAGACCCAGAAGGGGAGGGGGCAGGTGGGAAATAACCAGAATAGGGCAGAGAGGTCTGTGCTCCATTTCACTTACTCTCAACTAAACCATGGGCACTCTCATGTTATGTACTTCTGTCTTGACACCATAGGTTAGCAATCTATACATTTTTTTCCCCATAGCAAAGACGTAACACATTTTAACCTCTAAATTTGGGGTCCTAACTTCCTCTTTTCAAAACTAGGGCACTGCCCAGATCAGCCCTGTCCTGCTCTCCCACTCTCCAGGCACCACACTGTCTTCTCACTGTTCCTTAACTACTATTTCTCTTTTCTTTATGATTTTTTTCACTTTGATGCAGAGAATGAAAGCACAGTTGTCCTTGGTTGTCTATGAACACTACATTATCTTTCTCAAGGATAGTCATTTGATACTTTGTTCTTGATCCTCTTGTTCCAAATATTGCTTGGATGGAGGGCTACGTGGGCTCCTCTGACTTTGATAATGATATAATCATTTGGGGACCTAGTATTTCTTAAATTGTACAGTATGCTGCTTGTTTATCCTGCCCCCTATTTGCACTGCATTCTTTCCTTCTACCCCTTTGAATTCCCAATATTGGAATAAACCAGTCTCTACCTTCTCACCTTTCTATCCCACATCTAAAGGGGTAAGAAATCACATAAACATACTGACTAGAACCATTACAATTCCCTCTTCAATCTCAGCTGAATCTTCAGAGGATTCTTTACACGTCACTCTTCCAGTCCTTATTATAGTGCTCTTAAAACATTCCCAGGGCTACTACCATGCCTGATATGTCTGCTACTTACACCTGTCAAGCTACTGAGCTGGGACAGAGGCCCAGGTCTGTCACTTTCAAGTCTAGGAGCTTTTCATTAAGTTTCTCTCTTTATCTCAATTTTGCTCCCACATACTTTCAAAATGTGATCTACTTTCTTTGCAGAGTATTAGTCATTAATAACATTTGATACGTTTGATGACGCATCCCTCCTGAAGACCTCTTCTCTTGGTTTCTTT